AGTGTTGACAGGTGGGAAGGATGTGGCAGTAACAGATGAGGAGGAGGCAGAGATGATGGCCAAAGCGTTTGTCCAAGTGCATAGCTCGGCAAATTTGTCAGAGGAGGGGCAGAGGGGGAGAGAGAGAATGAGAGAGGAGCATCCTGGAGTGCTGGATAGGAGGGAGGATGTAAATGATGCGTTGAATGCACCTGTTTACCATGGCAGAGGTGTAAAGGGCAATAGGTAAGGCTGGGTTAACTTCATCTGGGAAAGATGAGGTGTGCTGTGTTATGTTGGCGCATCTTAGTGATGAGGCACTGGATAAGGTATTGGTGTTATACAACAGAGTCTGGGAGGAGGGGAAACTACCAGGCAGCTGGAAGGAGGCAGTAGTGGTACCAATCTGGAAGCCAGGAAAGGACCAATAGCTTTAACATGTACAGTGGGGGAAAAAAGTATTTAGTCAGCCACCAATTGTGCAAGTTCTCCCACTTTAAAAGATGAGAGAGGCCTGTAATTTTCATCATAGGTACACGTCAACTATGACAGACAAATTGAGAAAATAAATCCAGAAAATCACATTGTAGGATTTTTAATTAATTTCTTTGCAAATTATGGTGGAAAATAAGTATTTGGTCACCTACAAACAAGCAAGATTTCTGGCTCTCACAGACCTGTAACTTCTTCTTTAAGAGGCTCCTCTGTCCTCCACTCGTTACCTGTATTAATGGCACCTGTTTGAACTTGTTATCAGTATAAAAGACACCTGTCCACAACCTCAAACAGTCACACTCCAAACTCCACTATGGCCAAGACCAAAGAGCTGTCAAACGACACCAGAAACAAAATTGTAGACCTGCACCAGGCTGGGAAGACTGAATCTGCAATAGGTAAGCAGCTTGGTTTGAAGAAATCAACTGTGGGAGCAATTATTAGGAAATGGAAGACATACAAGACCACTGATAATCTCCCTCGATCTGGGGCTCCACGTAAGATCTCACCCCGTGGGGTCAAAATGATGACAAGAACGGTGAGCAAAAATCCCAGAATCACACGGGGGGACCTAGTGAATGACCTGCAGAGAGCTGGGACCAAAGTAACAAAGCCTACCATTAGTAACACACTACGCCGCCAGGGACTCAAATCCTGCAGTGCAAGACGTGTCCCCCTGCTTAAGCCAGTACATGTCCAGGCCCGTCTGAAGTTTGCTAGAGTGCATTTGGATGATCCAGAAGAGGATTGGGAGAATGTCATATGGTCAGATGAAACCAAAATATAACTTTTTGGTAAAAACTCAACTCGTCGTGTTTGGAGGACAAAGAATGCTGAGTTGCATTCAAAGAACACCATACCTACTGTGAAGCATGGGGGTGGAACATCATGTTTTGGGGCTGTTTTTCTGCAAAGGGACCAGGACGACTGATCCGTGTAAAGGAAAGAATGAATGGGGCCATGTATCGTGAGATTTTGAGTGAAAACCTCCTTCCATCAGCAAGGGCATTGAAGATGAAACGTGGCTGGGTCTTTCAGCATGACAATGATCCCAAACACACCGCCCGGGCAACGAAGGAGTGGCTTCGTAAGAAGCATTTCAAGGTCCTGGAGTGGCCTAGCCAGTTTCCAGATCTCAACCCCATAGAAAATCTTTGGAGGGAGTTGAAAGTCTGTGTTGCCCAGCGACAGCCCCAAAACATCACTGCTCTAGAGGAGATCTGCATGGAGGAATGGGCCAAAATACCAGCAACAGTGTGTGAAAACCTTGTGAAGACTTACAGAAAACGTTTGACCTGTGTCATTGCCAACAAAGGGTATATAACAAAGTATTGAGAAACTTTTGTTATTGACCAAATACTTATTTTCCACCATAATTTGCAAATAAAATCATTAAAAATCCTACAATGTGATTTTCTGGAATTTCTTTTCTCATTTTGTCTGTCATAGTTGATGTGTACCTATGATGAAAATTACAGGCCTCTCTGATCTTTTTAAGTGGGAGAACTTGCACAATTGGTGGCTGACTAAATCCTTTTTTCCCCACTGTATATAAGATTATGGAACATATGATTATGGAGAGGCTAACTTACTTCCTGGAGAGCAGGGGGCTAGTATCGCCACATCAGAGTGGGTTCAGGAAAGGTAGGGGAACTATGGACCCAGTGCTCTGCTTAGAAGCAGAGGTCAGGAAGGCTCAGGTGAACAAGGAGACTGTTGTAGCTGTCTTTTTTGAGAATGTGATAGGAAAGCATCCAACAGGAAAGTGTGATTATTGCCAGGAAACAGAGACTGTGGAGCATGTATTGCTACAGTGTGGGAAGTATCAGAGGGAAAGAGAGAGGCTGAGATCTAGTATGAGGGAGAAGGGGATACAGGAAATTAGTTTAAAGAGTATATTGAGTAGAACATCATTAGACATAGTCTCAAATATTTTATATTTTTTAAGAGCAACGGGGCTGGCAGGTAGGATTTAGTTTCTCCCCGTGTCTGGCCCACACTCCAGTACAGTAGGTTGGATGTTAACTGCCAATAAACCCCACCGAAGATATGAAGTAGTATATGAGTACAGGCCAATACTTGCTCCAGCCCTGTTAAAACACCTACTCTACTAATCAGGTATGTTAAGAGCAATTCAGTTTGTAGCAAAAGCATGCATACTGTACCCAGTATCTCTCCAGGAGGAAGGTTGGCCATCCCTGCTCTAGTGTACTGTGTTGGGACTCAACACAGTACACTATCGAGTTGTTTGTTCCACATTATTGTATTACCAACAGGACAGTGTGGAGGTACAGTGAGGGAAAAAAGTATTTGATCCCCTGCTGATTTTGTACGTTTGCCCACTGACAAAGAAATTATCAGTCTTTAATTTTAATGGTTGGTTTATTTGAACAGTGAGAGACAGAATAACAACAACGAAATCCAGAAAAACGCATGTCAAAAATGTTATATATTGATTTGCATTTTAATGAGGGAAATAAGTATTTGACCCCCTCTCAATAAGAAAGATTTCTGGCTCCCAGGTGTCTTTTATGCAGGTAACGAGCTGAGATTAGGAGCACACTCTTAAAGGGAGTGCTCCTAATCTCAATTTGTTACCTGTATAAAAGACACCTGTCCACAGAAGCCATCAATCAATCAGATTCCAAACTCTCCACCATGACCAAGACCAAAGAGCTCTCCAATGATGTCAGGGACAAGATTGTAGACCTACACAAGGCTGGAATGGGCTACAAGACCATCGCCAAGCAGCCTGGTGAGAAGGTGACAACAGTTGGTGCGATTATTCGCAAATGGAAGAAACACAAAATAACTGTCAATCTCCCTCGGCCTGGGGCTCCATGCAAGATCTCACCTCGTGGAGTTGCAATGATCATGAGAACGGTGAGGAATCAGCCCAGAACTACAAGGGAGGATCTTGTCAATGATCTCAAGGCAGCTGGGACCATAGTCACCAAGAAAACAATTGGTAACAAAATTGGTAACACACTACGCCGTGAAGGACTGAAATCCTGCAGCGCCCGCAAGGTCCCCCTGCTCAAGAAAGCACATATACAGGCCCGTCTGAAGTTTGCCAATGAACATCTGAATGAGTCAGAGGAGAACTGGGGGAAAGTGTTGTGGTCAGAGGAGACCAAAATCGAGCTCTTTGGCATCAACTAAACTCGCCGTGTTTGGAGGAGGAGGAATGCTGCCTATGACCCCAAGAACACCATCCCCACCGTCAAACATGTTTTTCTGCTAAGGGGATGTTATGTGAATTATTTAACAAACTATTTTAGTGTCTCTGTGCGTCTCCCAAAAGGTTGTAAGTCTTTTGGGATTTAAGTAACGGCCAGAGTCCCGGTCTGCATAGTCAGAGATATTTATTCATTGAGAATTCTGCCATCACAATTTCAGAGTCCATCTTTTATACTCATACGTCATACAAAACAATCCCTCCCCTCTGTAGGCGGGCTGTAGTTTTCCACTCTAAAACTGCTCTACTGACCATCAGTTCACACACACACACACACATATACACACATGCATACACACATACACACACACACACACACACACACACACATACCCTACTCCCTGCATTACTCAGTTATTGCCGTTCTCACAATATTCTGCACCATGTTTTCATAACAGTTTCTCCCCTCCCTAAATTGGGAGGCCTCTTTATCTTAGTTTCTCAGTTGTCTTTGTTGTCTGGCCTAACTCTTACTCACATTGCTAAATAGTGGCTCAATGCCATAGCCTTTACTGGTCCTACACTCACACATTTCTAACATATTATACACAGTTTCAGGGTGTAATAATTAGTCATTAATAATTAATCTATCAGGGGACAGGACAACTTCACCGCATCAAAGGGACGATGGACGGGGCCATGTACCGTCAAATCTTGGGTGAGAACCTCCTTCCCTCAGCAGCCAGGGCATTGAAAATGGGTCGTGGATGGGTATTCCAGCATGACAATGACCCAAAACACACAGCCAAGGCAACAAAGGAGTGGCACAAGAAGAAACACATTAAGGTCCTGGAGTGGCTTAGCCAGTCTCCAGACCTTAATCCCATAGAAAATCTGTGGAGGGAGCTGAGGTTCGAGTTGCCAAATGTCAGCCTCGAAACCTTAATAACTTGGAGAAGATCTGCAAAGAGGAGTGGGACAAAATCCCTCCTGAGATGTGTGCAAACCTGGTGGCCAACTACAAGAAACGTCTGACCTCTGTGATTGCCAACAAGGGTTTTGCCACCAAGTACTAAGTCATGTTTTGCAGAGGGGTCAAATACTTATTTCCCTCATTAAAATGCAAATCAATTTATAACATTTTTGACATGCGTTTTTCAGGATTTTGTTGATGTTATTCTTTCTCTCACTGTTCAAATAAACCTACCATTAAAATTATAGACTGATCATGTCTTTGTCAGTGGGTAAATGTACAAAATCAACAGGGGATTAACATTTTTTTCCCTCACTGTACATGTGAAGTTATCTGAAAGACCCATATTTTGAACTTGGCTCCGTTATCAAGGTTATGTTCAAGAACACATGCAGCGAGAGGCACTCCTACAGCCACGGCAAAATCTATTGGATGTTATTAAACAAGAGGAATAATGAGAGCCTTTATGAAACCAACTCCACCTTTGCTTCTGTGACTGTCACTGGTTTGGTCCCATATTCCTACCGCGCAATGATTAATCATTGCGTGCTAGGAATATGGGACCAAATACTAAACTTTGTATTACTTTATTACACATATAAGTGAATTTGTCCAAATAATTTTGGCTCCCTAAAATGGAGGGTGTGGTGAATAATGGACGGAGTCAGGCGCAGGAGTAAAATCACGAAATGCAGAGTTTTAATCCTTACAGCAGTTGAATGCGCTAACAGCGCCACTCGAAACAGGTAAAGGGGAAAACAATCCAACCTGAACAAACACAGTCTCGGAAAATACAACAACCGTAATGAAAAGGGGAAAATCAACTCTGGCACAAAATACATGAGCGAGTATCTCAACAAGCTACTCTCTTTCCACAATGAACAATCACTCACAAAGACAAGGGGACAGAGGGAACACTTATACCCATACTAATTAGGGGAATGAGCACCAGGTGTGTGTGATTGACAAGACAAGACATGACAAGTGGAGTGATGAGAAAAGGAGCGGCAGTAGCTAGTAATCCGGTGACGACGAAAGCCGAAACCAGGCCGAAAAGGAAGGGAGGCAGCCTCGGCGGAAGTCGTGACAGTACCCCCCCCTTGACGCGCAGCTCCAGCAGCGCGCCGACCCCGGGCGAGTTGGAGCTGGGCGAGTCGGATGGCGACGGTGGAAATCCCTCAATAGGGAGGGATCGAGGATGTCCCTCCTTGGGACCCAGCACCGTTCCTCCGGACCGTACCCCTCCCACTCCACGAGATACTGAAGGCCCCCCACCCGACGGCTCGAATCCAGGATGGAATGGACCGAGTATGCCGGGGTCCCCTCAATGTCCAGAGGAGGTGGAGGAACCTCCCACACCTCAGACTCCTGGAGCGGACCAGCTACCACCGGCCTGAGGAGAGACACATGAAACGAGGGGTTCATACGTTAATCAGGGGGGAGTAACAACCTGTATGTGACCTCGTTTATCCTCCTCAGGACTTTAAACGGCCCCACAAACCTGCGGGGGGGCAGATTCCGGGTCGAGAGCCAGACCCGATCCCCCGGTAGGAAGACCGGGGCCTCCCTGCGGTGGTGGTCAGCGTTAGCCTTCTGACGACGCACGGCGCACTGGAGGTGAACGTGGGCAGAGTCCCAAGTCTCCTCCGTGCGCCGAAACCAGTCATCCACCGCAGGAGCCTCGGTCTGGCTCTGGTGCCACGGTGCCAGGACCGGTTGGTAACCTAAAACACATTCGAAGGGTGTTAGGTTAGTGGAGTAGTGGCGGAGAGAGTTCTGAGCATATTCTGCCCATGGCAGGAACTCTGACCACTCCCCCGGCCGGTCCTGACAGTAGGTCCACAGGAACCTACCCACATCTTGATTCACCCTTTCTCCCTGCCCATTACTCTCGGGGTGAAATCCAGAGGTCAGGCTGACCGAGACCCCCAGACGTTCCATGAACGCCTTCCAGACCCTAGACATGAACTGCGGACCTCGGTCGGACACTATATCCTCTGGTACCCCGTAGTGCCGGAAGACGTGACTAAACAGTCCCTCCGCAGTTTGTAGGGCCGTGGGGAGACCGGGCAGTGGAAGGAGGCGGCAGGACTTCGAAAAGCAGTCCACAATGACCAGGATAGTGGTGTTACCTTGGGAGAGGGGAAGATCAGTAAGAAAAGCAATACTAAGGTGAGACCATGGTCGTTGTGGATCTGGTAAAGGTTGTAGCTTACCCGCTGGGAGGTGCCTAGGTGCCTTACTCTGGGCGCACACTAAGCAGGAGGAAACATACACCCTCACATCCTTAGCCAAGGTAGGCCACCAGTACTTCTTGGTCAGGCAGCGCACTGTACGACCGATACCTGGGTGACGTGTGTGCCCAGTAGATCAGACGATCACGGATAAGCGCAGGCACATACTGCAGCCCAGCTGGACACTGCGGTGGAGATGGATCTGTGCGTAATGCCTGTGCTATATCCGCGTCCATCGCCCATACTACTGGCGCCACAATGCATGAGGCCGGGAGTATGGGGGTGTTGTCTCTGGGCCTCTCCTCTGTGTCATACAGCCGAGACAGTGTGTCTGCCTTCACGTTCTTCATACCCGGAATGTATGAGAGTGTGAAATCAAACCGGGTGAAGAAGAGGGCCCACCTGGCCTGGCGAGGATTCAGCCTCCTCGCTGCCCGAATGTACTCCAGGTTACGGTGGTCTGTCCAGACGAGGAAAGGATGTTTCGCCCCTTCGAGCCAATGCCTCCACACCGTCAAAGCTCGTACAACAGCCAGCAGCTCCCGATCACTAACACCGTAGTTCTGCTCCGCCGAGCTGAGCTTCTTAGAAAATAAGGCACAGGGGCGGAGCTAGGGTGGTGTGCCCGAGCATTGGGATAAGACAGCATCTATCCCTACCTCGGACGCATCCACCTCCACTACGAACGCTAGTGATGGATCGGGGTGGGCCAGTACCGGGGCTGAGGTGAACAGACCCCGCAGTCTACTGAAGGCCAAGTCAGCCTCAGCAGACCAGTGGAGCCTGGACGGCCCACCCTTCAACAAGGAGGTAATGTGAGCTGCAACCTTGCCAAAGCCCCGAATAAACCTCCGATAGTAGTTGGCAAAGCCCAGGAAGCGCTGCACCTCCTTCACCATGGTTGGAGTTGGCCAATTACGCACGGCTGAAATGCGGTCTCCCTCCATCTCCACACCTGTGGTAGTAATGCGGTATCCGAGGAAGGAGATTGACTGCTGGAAAAACTCACACTTTTCTGCCTTGGCATAAAGGTCATTCTCCAGAAGTCAGACCAGTACCGTGCGAACCAGGGACACATGCTCGGCGCACGTAGCGGAATACACCAGGATGTCATCGATGTAGACCACCACACCGCGACCAAGCATGTCCCGAAACACCTCGTTCACAAAGGACTGGAAAACGGATGGAGCTTTCATCAAACCGTAGGGCATCACCAGGTATTCATTATGCCCCGAGGTTGTACTGAATGCTGTTTTCCACTCATCCCCTTCCCAAATACTTACCAGGTTGTAAGCACTCCTGAGATCTAATTTGGTGAAGAAGGGGGCCCCATGCATTGACTCAATCACTGAAGGAATGAGGGAAATAGGATAACTAAATCGTACAGTCACCTTGTTCAGTGGTCGATAATCAATGCACGGGTGTAAACTGCCATCTTTCTTCTTCACAAAGAAGGAACTCGAGGAAGCAGGTGAAGTGGAGGGACGTATATACCCCTGGCCCAGGGACTCAGTGACTTATTTATCCATAGCCTCCGTTTCTGCCCGCGACAGGTGATACACATGACTCCTGGGAGGTACAGCGTCTACCCGAAGGTTTATCGCGCAATCCCCCTCCCGATGAGGTGGTAATTTAGTCGCCTGCGTCTTGGAAAACGCGAGCGCCAGATCATGGTATTTGGGGGGAATGCGCACGGTGGGGGTACCGTCTGGACTCTCCACAGTGGTGGCACCAACCGAAACACCTAGACACCTACCCGGACACTCACACGACCACCCCATAAGAACCCTCTGCGTCCATGAGAAATTGTGGTTGTGAAGGGCTAACCACAGGATACCTAAAACTACAGAGTAAGCAGGAGACTCAATAGTCAAAAAAGTGATCTGCTCAACATGAGTCTCCTGGGTAATCATGGTGACGGGTACAGTAACCTCCTTAACCAACCCGGACCCTAATGGTCGACTATCAAGGGCTCTGATGGGGAGTGGAATGGATAGGGGAACCAATGAAATGCCTTGATGGAGTTTTCTACCTGGTCATACACTGTCAAGTCAAATATGCCAAGGTACATCACTCATCTTTTAATGTTATGTTGTCTGTGTTTTGTTTGTTGCTCAGTGCAATGCAATGTGCTATTTTCCTAGACTAGTCAAAGTTAATGTGACTTAGATTTTATACAAAATAAAAGCATAACTAGAAGTTTGTCTACCACTCAAATCTTTGTGTTTCTTCTTTCTGTGTAAATGTCCAGCATGTAATCGATACATCCATGTACAAAGTCGCCCAGACAACCACTGTCACTACTACTGAAGTGGAGCCGTGTCTGTCTGCTGTGCTTTAGACCAGACCCCCTGCAGTGAATGGAGCAGGGAGGTGACAATCCTCTCCTCATAATGGTAAGGAAACACTGAGCTCTATTTCGAAAATCACAATCGCTATAAAAAATTTAAGTCAAAATAAACCCTTTTCCTGCATGTTCAGAAGGTATGTGTGAGGTAAGAGGTATGCAAGGGATCTGTTTTGTTTTTCACTGTAAACATGTTATTGTTGTTGAAGACATTAATCCAAATGCTCATATTTGCTGTGCTTGAAGAACAAGGTGTTAGACTTTGAATAGCCCACACCGTCTGTGTGTTAGCCATGTACCCTTATCAAACGTTATCAAATGTCAAAATGTGGTTTTCTCTATGAGCTTCCTCATGTTATCATATGGCATGGTTTGATAGGGATGAGCAATGCAGCTGATCAATTTCACCAGCCCAGTTATCTCATTCGATGAGTAATCGAATGAGACATTTGGATCCATTTGGAAAGTTTTTTAACAGAGCTGTGGTCTGTCTTTAGTTGAGGCATTAGGCTTGTTAAATGGGTTGTGGTGAAAGACATTGTGAACCAATTACCCACATATTTTTTGGGCCATATTTCAGACAGCTACCGTATGCGTTCAGCCTCAGTATTGAATACTAAGTTTCGGTTTCAGTCTTAGTATTGAATGGCATTTACGTGTTCTCCTTATGACCTACTGCTATATCACAAAATGACTTGTAACATTGTGAGGCTTTTTGAAAGAGGCCTACATGAAAAAACTAACTTTAAATGGGAGCATTTGTTTATTATGACTAGGCTAAACTGTCTAAACTCTACTATTTCGATGTCAACAGTGAACACAGTGCAGTTGAACCTGTGAAGGAAGATCGATGCACCAGACGACACTGGGACTAGAAGAGTGCACCTGATGTGGAAGGTGAAGTGACAGAGCCTAGAGAAAGAAGACAATGTATAGAACTTTACACTGTACATAATCAACATTTAAGCAACATTACGCTCTTGTTCTGTTTTGGTTACCCACTACCAGGGGACTCCAACTCCGGTCCTGGAGAGCTATAGTGTATGCATGCTGTTGTTTCAGCTCACCACTAACACATCTGATTCTATCAGGAGTGTTAGTGCTGGGTTGAAACTAAAGCCTGCTCTCCCAGTAGCTCTCCAGCACCACAGTTGGAGAGCTTGGTCTTTCAAAACTATATAACTCTACCAGGAGTTTACATCCTCAAAACTATGAGTGAATCTCAAACATTACTCAACTTAGTCATGGTTTCTAAATGGGGGAGGGGATGATTCTGACTGGGTGTTACGTCACAGGAGGTTGGTTGTACCTTAATGTGGGAGGACAGGCTCGTGGTAATGGCTGGAGCGGAATAGGTGGAATGGTGTCAAATACATCAAACACATCGTTTCCATTCCAATTGCTCCGTTCCAGCCATTATTATGAGCCGTCCTCCCCTCAGCAGCCTCCTGTGTGTTACGTGTTTTCGAACATGTTATTTCCTTCTTTGTATAGGGCATCTCACCTGCATGCAAGACCTTAGATTAATACAGACTAACATACATGTAAAGCCTTTGAACACCATTGTGGATAAGGGTTCTATCACTGTGGACCAGAAGGCATACAGAGTCACTCTCGTTGCCTATCGTGGTGACATCACATTTCCTGAAGATTCAATCTATGTACCAGTCATTGGAGAAAGTCAATTGCTATATTTGACAAATATTCAATATTCATTGTTAGTCATCCTATTTAGTTGCATGCGTCTAGGGTTGCAAAGGGAGGGTATATCACTGGAAAAGTTCAATATTTACCAGTAAACTACCAGAATTTGGGTAATTTTCAAGGTTTATTTACAATTTTATAAAATGTCATCTTGTGGCCTTCTAGGGTACTTCAGATTATCTGTAATTTTATCTGGCATTATCACGTGAAATATATGAAATAATAAATACAAAAAATGGAATGGCAATGCTGTAAACATTATCCTAAATAGAAACCGTCAACTTAGTGAATACCATTGGTGTTCAGCATGAAATATCCTTTATATATTTTTGTTCACACTTTTATTTATTTTTCTATGTCTGTATTTGTTGTCAATGTTTTGGTTTCAAACTGGTGGCAGTTGAGAGAAAAAAGTCAATAGTTAGAAGAGTGGCAGAGTTAATTGAAAATCATGCCATTGTTGATTACATGATTTTTTCATTAATTAGGCTATTTTCTCTTGAACCATATGGTCTATCTACTAGAAACTCATGGACAATATGGACACAGAATAAAAAATACTATATAATTTAAAAAAATAAGTAGTTCAAGTATAAATGTCCAAAGTTAAACAATGGAAAAATGGTGCGTGCATATGAATTCACCCCCTTTGCTATGAAGCCCCTAAATAAGATCTGGTGCAACCAATTACCTTCAGAAGTCACACAATTAGTTAAATAAAGTCCACCTGTGTGCAATCTGAGTGTCACATGATCTGTCACATGATCTCAGTATATATACACCTGTTCTGAAAGGCTCCAGAGTCTGCAACACCACTAAGCAAGGGGCACCACCAAGCAAGCGGCACCATGAAGACCAAGTATCTCTCCAAACAGGCCAGGGACAAAGTTGTGGAGAAGTACAGATCAGGGTTATAAAAAAATATCAGAGACTTTGAACATCCCACGGAGCACCATTAAATCCATTATTAAAAAATTGAAAGAATATGGCACCACAACAAATCTACCAAGAGAGGGCCACCCACTAAAACTCACGGACCAGGCAAGGAGGGCATTAATCAGAGAGGCAACAAAGAGACCAAAGATAACACTGAAGGAGCTGCAAAGCTCCAGAGCGAAGATTGGAGTATCTGTCCATAGGACCACTTTAAGCCGTACACTCCACAGAGCTGGGCTGTATGGAAGAGTGCCAGAAAAAAGCCATTGCTTAAAGAAAAAAATAAGCAAACACGTTTGGTGTTTGCCAAAAGCCATGTGGGAGACTCCCCTAACATGTGGATGAAGGTACTCTGGTCATATGAGACTAAAATTGAGCTTTTTGGCCATCAAGGAAAACGCTATGTCTGGCGCAAACACAACACCCCTCATCACCCCGAGAACACCATCCATGGTGGTGGCAGCATCATGCTGTGGGGATGTTTTTCATCGGCAGGGACTGGGAAACTGTTCAGAATTGATGGAATGATGGATGGCGCAAAATACAGGGAAATTCTTGTGGGAAACCTGTTTCAGTCTTCCAGAGATTTGAGACTGGGACGGAGGTTCACATTCCAGCAGGACAATGACCCTAAGCATACTACTAAAGCAACACTCGAGTGGTTTAAGGGGAAACATTTAAATGTCTTGGAAAGGCCTAGTCACAGCCCAGACCTCAATCCAATTGAGAATCTGTGGTATGACTTAAAGATTGCTGTACACCAGCGGAACCCATCCATCTTGAAGGAGCTGGAGCAGTTTTGCCTTGATTTTTGCTGATTTTGTATGTTTGCCCACTGACAAAGACATGATCAGTCTATCATTTTAATGGTATGTTTCTTTGAACAGTGAGAGACAGAATAACAACAACAAAAATCCAGAAAAACGCATGTCAAAAATGTTATGAATTGATTTGCATTTTAATGAGGGAAATAAGTATTTGACCCCTCTGCAAAACATGACTTAGTACTTGGTGGCAAAACCCTTGTTGTCAATCATAGAGGTCAGACGTTTCTTGTAGTTGGCCACCAGGTTTGCACACATCTCAGGAGGGATTTTGTCCCACTCCTCTTTGCAGATCTTCTCCAAGTCATTAAGGTTTCGAGGCTGACATTTGGTAACTCGAACCTTCAGCTCCCTCCACAGATTTTCTATGGGATTAAAGTCTGGAGACTGGCTAGGCCACTCCAGGACCTTAATGTGCTTCTTCTTGAGCCACTCCTTTGTTGCCTTGGCCGTGTGTTTTGGGTCATTGTCATGCTGGAGTACCCATCCACGACCCATTTTCAATGCCCTGGCTGAGGGAAGGAGGTTCTCACCCAAGATTTGATGGTACATGGCCCCATCCATCGTCCCTTTGATGCGGTGTTGTAGCCCATTCCAGCCTTTTGTAGGTGTTCAATCTTGTCCCTGACATCCTTGGAGAGCTCTTTGGTCTTGGCCATGGTGGAGAGTTTGGAATCTGATTGATTGATTGCTTCTGTGGACAGGTGTCTTTTATACAGGTAACAAACTGAGATTAGGAGCACTCCCTTTAAGAGTGGGCTCCTAATCTCAGCTCTTTACCTGTATAAAAGACACCTGGGAGCCAGAAATCTTTCTGATTGAGAGGGGGTCAAATACTTATTTCCCTCATTAAAATGCAAATCAATTTATAACATTTTTGACATGCGTTTTTCTGGATTTTGTTGTTGTTATTCTGTCTCTCACTGTTCAAATAAACCTACCATTAAAATTATAGACTGATCATTTCTTTGTCAGTGGGCAAACGTACAAAATCAGCAGGGGATCAAATAATGGAGTCATTAAAACTTTTTCAACCACTCCACAAATTTCTTGTTAACAAACTATAGTTTTGGTATGTCGGTTAGGACATCTACTTTGTGAATGACACAAGTAAATTGTCCAACAATTGTTTACAGACAGATTATTTCACTTATAATTCACTGTATCAAAATTCCAGTGGGTCAGAAGTTTAAATACACTAAGTTGACTGTACCTTTAAACAGCTTGGAAAATTCCAGAAAATGATGTCATGGTTTAGAAGCTTCTGATAGGCTAATTGACATCATTTGAGTCAATTGGAGGTGTAACTGTGGATGTATTTCAAGGCCTACCTTCAAACTCAGTGCCTCTTTGCTTGACATTATGGGAAAATCAAAACAAATCAGCCAAGACCTCAGAAATTTTTTTGCAGACCTCCACAAGTCTGGTTCATCCTTGGGAGCAATTTCCAAACGCCTGAAGGTACCACGTTCATCTGTACAAACAATAGTATGCAAGTATAAACACCATTGGACCACGCAGCCATCATACCGCTCAGGAAGGAGAAGCGTTCTGTCTCCAAGAGATGACCGTACTTTGGTGTGAAAAGTGCAAATCAATCCCAGAACAACAGCAAAGGACCTTGTGAAGATGCTGGTGGAAACAGGTACAAAAGTATCTATATCCACAGTAAAACGAGTCCTATATCGACATAACCTGAATGGCCGCTCAGCAAGGAAGAAGCCACTGCTCCAAAACCGCCATAAAAAGGCCAGACTACGGTTTGCAACTGCACATGGGGACAAAGATCATACTTTTTGGAGAAATGTCCTCTGGTCTGATGAAACAAAAATAGAACTGTTTGGCCATAATGACCATTGTTATGTTTGGAGGAAAAAGGGGGTTGCTTGCAAGCCGAAGAACACCATCCCAACCGTGAAGCACGGGGGTGGCAGCATCATGCTGTGGGGGTGCTTTGCTGTAGGAGGGACTGGTGCACTTCACAAAATAGATGCCATCATGAGGAAGGAAAATTATGTGGATATATTGAAGCAACATCTCAAGACATCAGTCAGGAAGTTAAAGCTTGGTCGCAAATGGGTCTTCCAAATGGACAATGACTCCAAGCATACTTCCAAAGTTGTGGCAAAATGGCTTAAGGACAACAAAGTCAAGGTATTGGAATGGCCATCACAAAGCCCTGACCTCGATCCTATAGAAAATGTGTGGGCAGAACTGAAAAAGCGTGTGCGAGCAAGGAGGCCTACAAACCTGACTCAGTTACACCAGCTCTGTCAGGAGCTTGTGGGAAGCTTGTGGAAGGCTACCCCAAATGTTTGACCCAAGTTAAACGATTTAAAGGCAATGCTACCAAATACTAATTGATTGTATGTCAACTTTTGACCCACTGGGAATGTGATGAAAGAAAGAAAAGTTTAAATAAATAATTCTCTCTAGTATTATTCTGACATTTTACATTCTTAAAATTAAGTGGTGATCCTAACTGACCTAAAACAGGGCATTTTTACTAGGATTAAATGTCAGGAATTGTGAAAAACTGAGTTTAAATGTATTTGGCTAAGGTGTATGTAAACTTCCTACTTCAACTGCATATATCTATATATATATATATATATATATATATATATATATATATATATATATATATATATATATATATATCTAGTAGATATGTCATACTATCCCACTAAAGGCTATCCCACCACTATTTATCATACAGTCACTACTTCTACTACTACACTAGCCTCTAACAATTTTCATTTCTAAACTTCCACTATCATAAAAATACTTCTGGACAGCTAAAGAAAGGCACACAATTTTCCTTCAGAAAAAGTACCTTTTCTAGTTGTGTGTTGTGTTCTGTACTGAAGTGTTATTTTGAAGTGACTTTAAACCTCTCTGTGTTGTGTACCACCGTGTCACATTCATATGAGTTTATCTGTCAGGTTTCCCCCAGGTAAAGGGGACCTGGGCACCCCTAGCCCATGTTGGTTTCATCCAGGTGGGCTTGGCTGTTCCTCCTGTCTACCCTGTCCATGGCTACATTATAGACTGGACCACCGATGGCGATACACCTGGCTACAGAGCCAAGCCACTCACCTCTCATTGACTGTTGAGCTTGGATTCTGATGAATGGATGGGTGGGTAGATGGATCCTGATTATGTAACATTATGCCACTTTACATTGACATTGGTGTGCTTGACTTGACATCTTTTAAATTTAATAAGGTTTCAGTTTCAGTTTCTACTGTGGCCATTAGGAATTATTGTAATAGTTTTGCTGTCGTTTCTCTATGGGTTTTATAAGCTCATAAATGCATACAATGTGCATTAGATAAAGAGCCATTTAGCCTATCATAGATGTGGTTCGGTGAAAGATAAACAGAAAGCTTTTAGATTATGAATCAACTGGTAATAAATGTGTGTATACAACCCACGTTAAATGACCACCACTCTTACTGTTATTTCAGTAAACAATTTGTGCATTGAAAACTACATTGGGATGTTTTCAAATAGCTGATTTCTCCCTTTCTCATACTGTAGGCCTGCAGCCTTTTAAACTATACAACATCACAGTTACTCCACTCTATGATGTGGGAAATATAATTCAGATCTGCTCAAAAGAAAGAAGCACCACTGACATGTTCTCCTTTTTCTGTTGTCCCTTTGGGGTAATGGTTAGGTATCTTTGTATTCTTATATATTTCTTATATATTCCAATTATTCAATGTGTCAATGTTTTAATTGTATCTGTCCCTTTACAAATAAATGCATTATGAAATCATATTTTCTTTATCAACTCAGCTCCACGGAATATCTCCTCCATTGATGTACATGTCTAAGACAAGTGCTCAGGTCAACTGGACTGCTGTGCCTCAGAGCCAATGTAGCGGCATTGTCATCAACTACACCGTGTTCTACAAAACAGAAACACAACCAGAGCTGAGTGTCTCCTGAAATGTTGTTTAAACGTTGTTATAACGGCATGTCAACTGTACTGAGGGTAATTTGTTGTTGTTTTTCTCCCCTCTTAAATGTGACAGTGAATAGCAGGAAACAGGAAGTGACTTTGGAGCCTCTCTAACCAGGCACCAGATCCAGTGTCCATGTCATGGCCAACGCTGTTACTGGGGCAAACAATAGCAGCGTCACTCGCTTCACAATGAGCAGATACGGTAAGGTCATGTCTGTTAGCTCCACTGACCTCTAGTAAGTCATGGTAACACAAATTGACACGTATTCATTATATGTATCCACTTTGAAGCACAGGGTTGTAGTAACACATATTCTAACCATAGAATTACAATACTAGAACAGACATTCGAATTCAAGTCAACGTTCAGTGCTGGGTGGACCTGCGGCCACATTGACTGCACTCGTTTGTACCAGTCAAATTTGAATGGACTGAGGGGCTTTGTCCATTCTAGTGGTTCTATGGTTTCTCTAACACAACTCTCTAACAAAGCATGTTTCTCCATGTATACACTACTGTTCAATTGTCCAAAAACAGGTGTAGTAACAATGGGAGAGAATGGTATGTTCTAATAATGTCTCAAATCCAGTTTTTCCCCTCAGGCAGGACCTTCATCATAATGCTTCAGTGGTCTCAGCATCATCCAAATCAAATCAAATCCAAATCAATTTTTATTTGTCACATGCGCCGAATACAACCTTACCGTGAAATGCTTACTTACAAGCCCTTAACCAACAATGAAGTTTTAAGAAAAATAAGTCTTAAGTAAAAAATAGATAAGTAAAAAACAAATAATTAAAGAGCAGCAGTAAAATAACAGTAGCGAGGCTACATACAAGGGGTACCGGTACAGAGTCAATGTGCAGGGGCACAGGTTAGTCGAGGTAATTGAGGTAATATGTACATGTAGGTTAAAGTGTAGAGTTAAAGTGACTATGCATAGATAATAAACAGAGAGTGGCAGCAGCGTAAAAGAGGGGGGTGGGGGGGGGGGACAATGCAAATAGTCCGGATAGCCATTTGATTAGCTGTTCAGGATTCTTATGGCTTGGGGGTAGAAGCTGTTAAGAAGCCTTTTGGACCTAGACTTGGTACCGCTTGCCGTGCGGTAGAAGAGAGAACAGTCTATGACTAGGGTGGCTGGAGTCTTTGACAATTTTAAGGGCCTTCCTCTGACATTGCCTGGTATAGAGGTCCTGGAAGCTTGGCCCCAGTGATGTACTGGGCCGTACGCACTACCCTCTGTAGTGCCTTGCGGTCGGAGGCCGAGCAGTTGCAATACCAGGCAGTGATGCAATTTGTCAGGATGCTCTCGATGGTGCAGCTGTAGAACCTTTTGAGGATCTGAGGACCAATGCCAAATCTTTTCAGTCTCCTGAGTGGGAATAGGCTTTGTCGTGCCCTCTTCATGACTGTCTTGGTGTGTTTGGACCATGATAGTTTGTTGGTGATGTGGACACCAAGGAACTTGAAGCTCTCAACCTGCTCCACTACAGCCCCATCGATGAGAATGGGGGCGTGCTCAGTCCTCCTTTTCTTGTTGTCCACAATCATCTCCTTTGTCTTGATCACGTTGAGGGAGAGGTTGTCATCCTGGCACCACATGGCCAGGTCTCTGACCTCCTACCTATAGGCTGTCTCATCCTTGTCGGTGATCAGCCCTACCACTGTTGTGTCGTCAGCAAACTTAATGATGGGGTTGGAGTTGTGCCTGGCCATGCAGTCATGGATGAACAGGGAGTACAGGAGGGGACTGAGCACGCACCCCTGAGGGGCCCCCGTGTTGAGGATCAGCGTGGCAGATGTGTTGTTACCTACCCTTACCACCTGGGGGCGGCCTGTCAGAAAGTCCAGTATCCAGTTGCAGAGGGACGTGTTTAGTCCCAGGGTCCTTAGCTTAGTGATGAGCACTGAGGGCACTATGGTGTTGAACACTGAGCTGTAGTCAATGAATAGCATTCTCACGTAGGTGTTCCTTTTGTCCAGGTGTGAAAGGGCAGTGTGGAGTGCAATAGAGATTGCATTATCTGTGGATCTGTTGGGGTGGTATGCAAATTGGAGTGGGTGTAGGGTTTCTGGGATAATGGTGTTGATGTGAGCCATGACCAGCCTTTTAAAGCACTTCATGGCTACAGACGTGAGTGCTACGGGTCTGTAGTCATTTAGGCAGGTTACCTTAGTGTTCTTGGGCACAGGGACTATGGTGGTCTGCTTGAAACATGTTGGTATTGCAGACTCAGTCAGGGACAGGTTGAAAATGTCAGTGAAGACACTTGCAAGTTGGTCAGCGCATGCTCGGAGTGCACGTCCTGGTAATCTGTCTGGCCCTGCGGCCTTGTGAATGTTAACCTGTTTATCCTATTCATTTGACTCTTTTGTGTCATTCAGTAAGTTCCGCCATAGATCTTGGGAATGTTTTAAAGCTGCAAATATTGTTCCCATACGTCCAACCAGTAAACATTAAACACTCAATTATGTCAGTCAAGTCAAATAATTATGTCACACTTAATCTTAACAACACAGAATCAAAATTGTGCGTTAAAGGCCAGCTACTCGATTAGGTTCTGGGGGGGAGAGGTTTGAGATCTGAAAGTAGGGCGACTGGCGGAACCAGGGCGGATCCTATTTGGTAACTTAACCCCCCTCTCTCTGCAAGTCTATGGGCCTAATGTCCCCCCCAGGTGTCTTTTATACAGGCAACGAGCTGAGATTAAGAGCACACTCTTAAAGGGAATGCTCCTAATCCCCCCTTTTTCAAAAGTACCAGGTGTAGGTGCATCCTCCAAAAATTGTGATTCGTCCAAATAACCAGTGACGAAAAACCAGCGCACCAGAATAATTGTTCCTTGTTATTGGTCGCATGTTACAGTCCTGGGAAAGACATTACCATTTATGTTTGTCTGTCCACAGGAGATTATGTCACACTTAATCTATCGTGGACAGCCTACATAACATAAATGTTATTGTAAAGTATTTTTAAAAAACTGGTGGTTTGTGACAAACTGGGGGTTTGTGGGGGTAGTTTCCGTTAAGGGGGGTGGAGACTTCGTTAGTATCTTTTCTCACACATCTCCCCCCTAAACCTAATCGAGCATCTGACACAATTACAAAAGATTTTAGTTCTGGGTTTCCAAGATTGTCACACTATACTAGATTTGATGTTCTTTGACAGGGCTTGCTGTGTAATGTTTAACTGATTCCTAGGTGGAAGATGGTGCCCAACCCTGGTCTCAGCTCCCTGGCCTTCTGGTCTTCTCATCGTTATTATAAGGTTAACATGATAATGGTTGTGATAATGATAATCATCATAATGCTATTATAATCATCATGATAACAACATGATAATCATTGTGTATATTGTGTCCTTTCATCCTTTAAACTCATTCCATTAAGGCCTATCCTATGCACAGGGTAACAAGTCCAATTCATAAAATTGTCTGAAGGAAATTAATATCTTGATTTTTGTTTCTTTACATTTCAAAAAATCTAAACTTTTAGAGCATTATCTTTGGATCAGAATGTATAGTAGCTAATATAGTAGCTATAACCAGTCATTAATCTCCATGTTGGCTCAACATCGCTACAGTTTCTCTCATCTCCACAGATCCAGCCCTTTAACAACGCGCCCGAATGAGAGACCTTCTGTGAGAGGATCTACCCCTGTGAGGTGGACACCATAACGGACGACATGGGGCCAACCTCTACAGAGGATGAGGACATACAGGACAATGAGCCAGGCAGTGATCAGACAAAGCTTTGGCTTCGGTAGCAAGACCTCTTGTGACAGCCAACCCAGAGAGGAGAGCAGTAACCTGGGCCTGGCCCCAACCAACTTCCCTTTACTGGTTCAACAAGATGAAGGAGTCAATCTTGTGGAGTGAATCACCTCTGAGGACTCATCACTCATCAGACCTCCAGCTCCCCGAGAGCTATCTGATCAACCCCTACAGGCTGCAGAATCCAGTGGAATGCCCTGTGAGATAGGGGTTGGGGCGAAGTAAGGTCGGGTGCCACAGAGGAGAGCAGGAGCCTGTTGGAGACAATGCAGATTAACAGCACAGCCCCTCTCACAGCATACAATGAACACATATACAGTATGTTTGGACACAGGCGGGCAGGTGAAGAAAAGTAAATGGCCATGAACACACCTGAATCCGGTGGACTTCTCAGTGTCTTTCCTGTATCTTTATTCATTCTGGTTTTCTGTCTCATATAGGCTGTGTTTTATGTGTTAGGGGCACTTTGAAATGTACCTTTTGTAATTATACTTGAGAGACAATTTGTACGGTATTTATATTTGTACATGGTAAAACTGGATGGATATCAGTTTGGCATTAAGATGGTTCTTTCAATTTACTTTTTCACTTGCATCTATTTATATCAACTCAAACATACATCCTTATACTATATGTACAGTGAGGGAAAAAAGTATTTGATCCCCTGCTGATTTTGTACGTTTGCCCACTGACAAAGAAATGATCAGTCTATAATTTTAATGGTAGGTTCATTTGAACAGTGAGAGACAGAATAACAACAAAAAAATCCAGAAAAACGCATGTCAAAAATGTTATAAATTGATTTGCATTTTAATGAGGGAAATATGTATTTGACCCCCTCTCAATCAGAAAGATTTCTGGCTCCCAGGTGTCTTTTATACAGGCAACACTCTTAAAGGGAGTGCTCCTAATCTCAGTTTGTTACCTGTATAAAAGACACCTGTCCACAGAAGCAATCAATCAATCAGATTCCAAACTCTCCACCATGGCCAAGACCAAAGAGCTCTCCAAGGATGTCAGGGACAAGATTGTAGACCTACACAAGGCTGGAATGGGCTACAAGACCATCGCCAAGCAGCTTGGTGAGAAGGTGACAACAGTTGGTGCGATTATCCGCAAATGGAAGAAACACAAAAGAACTGTCAATCTCCCTCGGCCTGGGGCTCCATGCAAGATCTCACCTTGTGGAGTTGCAATGATCATGAGAATGGTGAGGAATCAGCCCAGAACTACACAGGAGGATCTTGTCAATGATCTCAAAGCTGCTGGGACCATAGTCACCAAGAAAACAATTGGTAACACACTACGCCGTGAAGGACTGAAATCCTGCAGCGCCCGCAAGGTCCCCCTGCTCAAGAAAGCACATATACAGGCCCGTCTGAAGTTTTCCAATGAACATCTGAATGATTCAGAGGAGAACTGGGTGAAAGTGTTGTGGTCAGATGAGACCAAAATCGAGCTCTTTGGCATCAACTCAACTCGCCGTGTTTGGAGGAGAAGGAATGCTGCCTATGACCCCAAGAACACCATCACCACCGTCAAACTTAGAGGTGGAAACATTATGCTTTGGGGGTGTTTTTCTGCTAAGGGGACAGGACAACTTCACCACATCAAAGGGACGATGGACGGGGCCATGTACCGTCAAATCTTGGGTGAGAACCTCCTTCCCTCAGCCAGGGCATTGAAAATGGGTCGTGGATGGGTATTCCAGCATGACAATGACCCAAAACACACGGCCAAGGCAACAAAGGAGTGGCTCAAGAAGAGGCACATTAAGGTCCTGGAGTGGCCTAGCCAGTCTCCAGACCTTAATCCCATAGAAAATCTGTGGAGGGAGCTGAATGTTCGAGTTGCTAAACGTCAGGCTCGAAACCTTAATGACTTGGAGAAGATCTGCAAAGAGGAGTGGGACAAAATCCCTCCTGAGATGTGTGTAAACCTGGTGGCCAATTACAAGAAACGTCTGACCTCTGTGATTGCCAACAAGGGTTTTGCCACCAAGTACTAAGTCATGTTTTGCAGAGGGGTCAAATACATATTTCCCTCATTAAAATGCAAATCAATTCATAACATTTTTGACATGCGTTTTTCTGGATTTTTGTTGTTGTTATTCTGTCTCTCACTGTTCAAATATATCTACCATTAAAATTATAGACTGATCATGTCTTTGTCAGTGGGCAAACGTACAAAATCAGCAGGGGATCAAATACTTTTTTCCCTCACTGTATGTGGTAGAATATACAGTGGGGAAAAAAAGTATTTAGTCAGCCACCAATTGTGCAAGTTCTCCCACTTAAAAAGATGAGAGAGGCCTGTAATTTTCATCATAGGTACACGTCAACTATGACAGACAAAATGAGGGAAAAAAATCCAGAAAATCAAATTGTAGGATTTTTTATGAATTTATTTGCAAATTATGGTGGAAAATAAGTATTTGGTCAATAACAAAAGTTTCTCAATACTTTGTTATATACCCTTTGTTGGCAATGACACAGGTCAAACGTTTTCTGTAAGTCTTCACAAGGTTTTCACACACTGTTGCTGGTATTTTGGCCCATTCCTCCATGCAGATCTCCTCTAGAGCAGTGATGTTTTGGGGCTGTCGCTGGGCAACACGGACTTTCAACTCCCTCCAAAGATTTTCTATGGGGTTGAGATCTGGAGACTGGCTAGGCCACTCCAGGACCTTGAAATGCTTCTTACGAAGCCACTACTTCGTTGCCGGGCGGTGTGTTTGGGATCATTGTCATGCTGAAAGACCCAGCCACGTTTCATCTTCAATGCCCTTGCTGATGGAAGGAGGTTTTCACTCAAAATCTCACGATACATGGCCCTATTCATTCTTTCCTTTACACGGATCAGTCGTCCTGGTCCCTTTGCAGAAAAACAGCCCCAAAGCATGATGTTTCCACCCCCATGATTCACAGTAGGTATGGTGTTCTTTGGATGCAACTCAGCATTCTTTGTCCTCCAAACACGACGAGTTGAGTTTTTACCAAAAAGTTCTATTTTGGTTTCATCTGACCATATGACATTCTCCCAATCCTCTTCTGGATCATCCAAATGCACTCTAGCAAACTTCAGACGGGCCTGGACATGTACTGGCTTAAGCAGGGGGACACGTCTGGCACTGCAGGATTTGAGTCCCTGGCGGCGTAGTGTGTTACTGATGGTAGGCTTTGTTACTTATCATTTTGACCCCACGGGGTGAGATCTTGCGTGGAGCCCCAGATCGAGGGAGATTATCAGTGGTCTTGTATGTCTTCCATTTCCTAATAATTGCTCCCACAGTTGATTTCTTCAAACCAAGCTGCTAACCTATTGCAGATTCAGTCTTCCCAGCCTGGTGCAGGTCTACAATTTTGTTTCTGGTGTCCTTTGACAGCTCTTCAGTCTTGGCCATAGTGGAGTTTGGAGTGTGACTGTTTGAGGTTGTGGACAGGTGTCTTTTATACTGATAACAAGTTCAAACAGGTGCCATTAATACAGGTAACGAGTGGAGGACAGAGGAGCCTCTTAAAGAAGAAGTTACAGGTCTGTGAGAGCCAGAAATCTTGCTTGTTTGTAGGTGACCAAATACTTATTTTCCACCATAATTTGCAAATAAATTCATTAAAAATCCTACAATGTGATTTTCTGGATTTTTTTTCCACATTTTGTCTGTCATAGTTGATGTGTACCTATGATGAAAATTACAGGCCTCTCTCATCTTTTTAAGTGGGAGAACTTGCACAATTGGTAGCTGACTAAATACTTTTTTTCCCCACTGTACCTCCTCAAATGTTTGTTTCTTCTCAATGTGAAGGACAGTTGTTGGTATAACAAGGAAAATTCCCCTTTCCGTCCAACACCAGGGGTGTTGAAACACCACTTCCAGAAAACAGAAAGCAAGCGTGCCAAGACTGAAAAACAGAAATACTTCAGTATTTTGCACAATAGTGTCTCTGAGTCACTGGCTGCAGCCCAAATGGCACCTTATTCCATGTACAGTGCACTTTTAGGGCTCAGGTCAGAAGTAGTTTACTATATAAAGCACGGGGTGCCATTTTGGGACGCAACCAATGACTAGAGGCACATGAAGCTCATCATTGTTTTGACCATATACTGTTGTAGGAGACGTTTTGGCCTGTTTGTGTGTTGTGTATATGTTGTCTGTCAAGGGTTATTTTGACTTGTTTTGTACACTAGTGGGTGGTCATTGGTCACTGGTCACGTGTGTGTATACTGTATAGGTAGCACAGGTGACCAGGAAGGGTTAGCACAGGTGAGAGATGAGCACATACAGTTCTTACCGTATCACAGATACTGCTTATAGAATGCATCTCTCTGCACCTTTTCTATAGGAATATGTGTTTTGGAGCTATTTATATGTTATATGTGCAATAAATGGGAACTTCACCCAAAAAGAGTAACGTTTGGAAAGCTGATTTTTGTGGACGTGTTATGGACATAGGGAATCGCCACTGCAACTGTTCTTTAGAAAAATATAATTCACTGAGTCATTGAACACAAACTCATCAGTCCAAGTCTATGGTCTGCCTGTTGGGACTGTGAGCAGCACAAAATAAGAATTTCAGTGGCCGTGATAAACAAAGCCTGGGGATTCACAGTTGAAGCATGGGATATATTATGTAAAACTAACAGGGGAAAATAAAGGAAAATATATTAAACAGTGGAGGCTCCTCAGAGGAGGAAGGGGAGGACCATCCTCAGTGAATTTCATAAAAATGTAAATGGTAAAACATTTAAAAAGTGAACCTTTTTAGATAAAACTATGCTAAATATAACCACGTCAACAAATAACTGATTAAAACACACTATTTTGCAAAGAAGGTCTACAGTAGCCTCAACACTCTGTAGGGTAGCACCATGGTGTAACCGGAGGACAGCTAGCGTCCGTCCTCCTCTGGGTACATTGACTTCAATTCAAAACCTATGAGGCTCATGGTTCTAACCCCCTTCCTTAGACTTAATTATGACAACTTTCAGGGGACATCCTACCAGCCTATCAGAGCTCTTGCAGCATGAACTGACATGTCCACCCAATCAAAGGATCAGATAATAAATCAAGTACTGAAAGCATATTTTTTATTTTAATTTTTTTATTTCACCTTTATTTAACCAGGTAAGCCAGTTGAGAACAAGTTCTCATTTACAACTGCGACCTGGCCAAGATAAAGCAAAGTAGTGCGATAAAAACAACAACAC